CGATTCGTGAAACGCGGTTGCGATTAAAAAGAACTAAGGAAAGAGGGAGGTAGTGGTCGCACCTTAGTGACTATCTCCCCAATCGATATGTCGTGTTATGTGTTTGCCGACTGAGTACTCATTATAGCAAACATTTTTTCTGCTCGGGGAGGTGTAGAAAAAAAAAACGGATTTGATTGCTGAAAATAGAGCTCATACTACAACAGCAAACTTTTGAATTTTTTAATTTCGAAAGTCGTTGATTGAAAATAAGTTGTTTTCTTGGTTTGTCGTAGTCAGCCATTGAGTTCTAAAAAATAAAGATTTCATGTTACTTACGCGTACGCTTTTTCAAAGAAAACGCAGAGGTCTTTGACTGATAGAAATTCCATCGTATGTGCAATGGATTATAACAAAATTTAAGAAACTTTTTTTTTTTAATTTTTTCACTTCTTGGCCCAGTTCACTTTCATAATCATCGGAATCAAGCACGTTACAAATGCTTATACTCATAAGAAAAATCATCAAGAAGGCAAAAGCTTTGTCTCTCTAATAGACATTGGCCTTTCCAATGCAGAGTCCTTAGTAACTTACTAAGGTGAAGCATTAAATAGTTTGAGACTTCTATTGCATTGTATATAGGCGTACGCATAACTTTGATAAACATCGCCATCAACTTGTTACGTCGTTGATTTTTATCATCAAAATATTAATTTTCATCTGAATTGTTTCAATTTTTAATCGTTATTAACCATTTACCATTTGGCAGTATCGAGCTATTAACCGAGTTAACCGCAGCTTTATCTGATCTTTAAACTTCAGGTTTAATATATTGTCAGATCGGCGACCATTTAAACGGCAATCATTTCAACAGACAAAGAGTTGTGATATAAAATTCGTCCTAACAAATCGTTTATCGAATCGTTCAAAAATTATTGAGCCTTACGATGAGATACCGCCCACGTGATAATATATATTGCCTAAGTCTACGACAGAGATGGAGATCGGTGTGTTTTTTCAACACACATAACTAGCTACTAGCTATTTAGGAATAATATGCTACCATACTCTGTTGCCTTGAAGTTTTCCTTGCAAGGCATTCCCTGAATTGAGATTAACTAACGAATCTCTTTGTGTTTTCTTTTAGAGGAAGTTAGAATCTTAGTTTTACCGTATGATGTATGCCGTGGTCTAACAACTAATATATGCTAATATTTGATGCTGTTGTGCTTCTTTTTTTTTTTCTTGCCAAACCATAAAAAGCAGTTATAACGGAATATTAAAAACAATAACCAAGAATAACTGAAACGTGCTCCTTTTCTTTTTTAATGACGGGGAAGGAAATAATTTCAAGGCACTCATAAATACTAAGAAGTCTTATTAGAATATGTCGGTGGAAGTATAGTATATACGTACGTATGTATTTATGTATGTATATATATGGATGAGGAAAATAAAATATAGACAAAGGCTAACATGTAACCTTTTTTAATAGAGATTATAATACGACGCGTGCGCTCATGCTTAGCATGCTTACGAAAACAATAACAACAATAACAGCAACAACGAAACATGCCTTCATTTGCTAATAGGAATTTGCATTCTTTTTTTTTTTTTTTATCTTTAGAAATTTGTCCATTTTTTTTTGGTTTTTTTTTATGCTTTGGCAAAATGATTGTCTAAAAACCTTAAGGCTTAAGTAAGGTATAAATCTCCCAAATTTTTTTTCTTCTTTTTTTTCTTTTCGCTCTTTGATTTTCTTTGCTTAAATCAATATTTACCCACGTGCGTTTCTTTTTGCAAACATTGTATAGAACAAGGAGATACAAAATATCGTACATTTTTTTTATATTATACTCATCACCGAAGGATAAGGGGTATATTCAGTCTGTCAAAACGTTTGCAACGTCCAGAAGAAACCTTAGAGATACGAAGACTCAGAAGAACACACATTCTTGATCAGCATTAAATTCTAAATCGATTTAAGCATGTCCGTCTGTCCATCTGACCGTCCGTCCGATTGTGCAGTGTCTATTGTAAACGTCTTTTGGCCGCAAAAATGGATCTAGCGACTTGAAATTTAATAGAAACATTGGAAGTTCTTGCAAGCTTGAAGGAAACACCCTTGCCACCGCTTAAGCTGAGACCATTTCTGTGTTTCAAGGCGAATGAAAAATTGGTTTTTTTGCTCATTACTCGTAAACTATAGCAAATAAATTAAAAAGTTTGAACGCATATACTATGAGCGATGCAGTAGCATCTGTTTACAAAAATGGAAGGAATGGACCACGCCTACCTAATATTATAGCGCATCAAAATTTAATTATTTTTTCAATATCATTATAATAAGCAGAAATAAGCCTCAAAAAAACCCTTAAAGTATATATAAATTCTTGGCCAGTTACAACCCTAGAATGCATCCAAACATGTCCGTCTCTTCCTTTGTCCATCTGCCTGTTTGCACGAAGCAAACCCGTTAGCGAAAGTGAAGATATCGGCTATAAATTTGCAAAAGAATTTGGAATTGACTTAAACTTTTCAAAGGACACGCCCACAACGTGCACATGCACGCATTCTACAACAAAAGCTTTCATTTTAAAAATAGAAAAAATCAACTGCGCCTGCTCCATATTATAGGGCATGAGAGTTTTTGTTCTTTTACTTCGTTTGCCTCATTTTGGGGTAAACGTTGATGGATGTAAAAGATTCGATTCCGATCGCATTTAATTTTCTTACTTAGTTTTTATTATTTCCATTTCTTCATATCTTGCTCATTTGTTCTTCTAAGGGTCTTTAAATAGCGCTATAAGCATGTTTCGTTTCTATCGTATTTGTGCATATATATGTATGTATGTATGCATATATGCTTGTTTGTTTAAGTCCATGATGATGTAGTTCCTGCATATCAGAGTTCAAAGTTTATTTCAATTTAACCTGAAAAGTTTATCGCGCACATTGTTTGCCAAATGTAATTGGAACTTGATGAACTTTATTTGGGTATGAAAAGTATAAAGTTGGAGCGAAAAAGCGAATGCACAACAGCTAGGTGCGAGACTTAAAAATGGCAATAATATCTTTGCCCAAATACTTATATGCATCCTTTTGGTAAATCTTTGCCAAACAGAAGATGAGCTTTAAATAGAAAGAGTGGGAGAAATTTATTATAAAACAGACGTTGTTTTCTTCCCTCTTTTTGTTAGTTTATAATTGCAAGAATAAGAAAAAGAAGAAGACAACTTTGTTGCATGGCTTATATATTGCATTTATGTTAACTTTAGTAATAGAATGTGAATGGGTGGATGGTTTCGAGAGAAATAGCAACTAAGCTTAGTGTTAAAAAAGAAGAAGGAAAAGAAGAAAAAGAAGGCGAAGACCTAAGTCTAATCGCATACAAGCAAAACCTGTGTGTGAAGTGTGTTTTGAAGAAATTTCTTCATCGATATTTTTGATAGCCTTGTTTAGCATTACTGTAAACTTGAGATTAGATAAACTAAGGTTTATAATTTTTTACCTATTTCCGTCGCGGTCCCTTTTACTTCTTGTCAATTTTTCCTTATACAGTTGTCCGTATATCGTATATCGATAGAAATCAAATCGGAATCGTGTAAATTTCAAAAGCATATGTTAGTGAGCTCATAGAGCTCACTACGAAGAAGCAAGGAAACCGTATATTTCAGTTAAGCCAAATCTTGTATAATCGTTGCCATTAACAAACGTTCTGCTTAAATTGTCTTTGAATTGGATGAGTAGTGGGATTGTACCGTTCTCCCAAACTGTAGGTCAATATCTACTAAACAGTGCTGGTTAGTGTTCTTCCTTTACTCATTTCTTTCTAACCATCACTCATTTCATACATGTCGGTGACATATCCTGAGCGATTGGTTATACTAAGAAAAAAAATGGAAATTTTCGTTTTTTTGGTCCTTACGGATAATTTTATACTTCGTAAAGCCAGCGTATATTTTCCCAAGAAGATCTATAAATGGACGGACAAATGAGTAGATATGTCTAAATCGATTTGATTTCACTGATCGAAAGAAGCTGCATAAGTTTTTGGGGGGCTTCTAAATCTTAGGAGCCGGCTGGAGGTTTGCCTTATGCAATTCTCTCTTGTTATGGTAGACTTTGAAATTATTTGATTTGCAAAAAGCATTTATTCTTCTATTTTCATTATAATTATTTAATAAGAAACATTTCTTTCTAAATACCGTTTTTGGTTAATTAAGTGTTAAATTAAATATCAATTTTCTTGTTAAGTCGATAAATCTATTTTTCTTTAGCAAAATCAATTGAGTGCTTATGACTAAATATGATAAAGATATTGATGATGATGATGATGATTATGATGATGAGAATAATAATGATGATGATGATAATGATGAAAAAGATGTTGCTCTTATTGCTTATGGCAGTTAATATTGACTTATAAATATACATGAGTTGAAATTACTCTTCGCTGCTCTAGCATAGAAGATTTGAAGAACTAGTTGCGATTTATTTTAAATACGTTAGACGCGGTTATAGGCGAATATTTTGTTACTCATTTTCAATAAAATTTATTCATTGCATAATTCTAAGCTTACTTGCCTTCTAGTCAGATATTTATGGATATAATTGTGATTTTTACATTCAAGCAGATATATGGGTTGTATTGTTACTGTAATGTTTTTGAGAAACGCTCCGAACGCTAGCAAATGTTCTAATGCTGGAAAACATTTATGACTTGTTTGGGACAATTCAAATTGGACGAGAAAGAGAAAAGTTCAAACTTTATCAGAAAGAAATTTTCAAACAAGTTTGAAAAATTCATTCTTATATTAAGCAGTACGAACAGTAGAAATTTTTAAGATAAGTCAGTTTAAAATCCATTTTTTCGCGCCTTCTAATAATAATTCTTTCTAAATAAATTGATTTTAAGCAATCGAAAGTTTTAAATGAAAAATTAAAACAAATTTGAATTACATTGATTGCGAATAAATACAAATCGGATTAAAGAACTATTTTTCTTGTTTTCTTTCCAGTGAAAAACACAGTGAACATTAACTGAATGAATTTAAAAAACTGATTACGTGATTTGAAAAAGTACCCTAAGTGGCTGCCTGTAAGCGCAAACAGTGTCGAGGTAAGTAACTTGAAAACTTATTTTCAAAAACTATGTATATGCGATCCATGTTATAAGGAAAAGTTTACACTGGAAACTACGTTACCCGTAACAATTCTCAGTTCCAGATTTGTGCATACGAACAAAATCATTTCTGTTTCATAAAAAAAAAAAAAAAAAAATCATTAAAATCTCTTAAGGAACAAAAGAGTACAGAAAAATTCATGACTACGTCCACTATTATGTATGGCACTTGTCTTAGTTATAATTTAGGAATAGTATAGGTAGCAGTATATATAGTAATAGTAGTAATATAGAGTCTTTCACCAAGAACAGGTGCCTCTTTCTCTCTTCTCCCACTTTTTTCTGGTCATCGCCCTGTTACACGTATAGGGCACGTGGCCTGACTAAACAAATGATAAAAAAAAGTTGTCATAACAATAGTACATAACGGAAGAAGAGAGATGGGAGCTGTTCAGATGTCGATCGCCGTACATTCGCTAGTTGAGCGCAGATTGATTGCTTTAAAGGCTTCAACGGCAATATTCCGAGGGATGACAATTATATCGTTTGCAATTTGTCTGGGTGCGTAAGCAAGCAAACTAAAGCTTTTAGGGACCTGAAAACCTAGGCAGTAGTCAAACAATCTCTTCGTACGAATTATAGGTTGCCCCAGGTTTTCGACTGACGGTGTAATTCGACCAGTTTCCTGAAAATACCACTGCTTCGATCAAGGCAGTGAATAGACTACATTATCGAATAATTTCGACTGATTTTGTTCTGACTTAAAACTAAAATTACTTGTGCAAGTGACACTTATTTTCACGAATTGTTGCAAAGCTCATGGAATATTGACTCTATGGCCTAAATGATTTAAGTCAACATATCCTATTGTACTGAGTCTGTAGACGATTGCGGGAAGTAAGGGCAAGGTATTCAGTTGAAAAACAGTCTTGTGTGGTGAAAATTATTACAAATGAAAAATTTGGATAACTTAGCTGATGTAAAAATCGAAATCACTCAATGTCAATCGATAACATATCATTTTTTTAGCTACCATTTTTTCTCTTATGCAAATCTTAGAGAGAGAGAGAGAGAGAAGTCATATAGGTTTTGGATTATATGCAAAAAAAGCAAAGGGGCAAATGATTATTTTGAACTCGAGGAAATCAAAAAAATTTCTTACGTCAGACTTTTCCACCTTTTTTTTAATGTCGTAACAAATCGGACATATCTCTTAATTTGTAAGTGAATGAAAAAAATGGCATTACATACGTATTGCACACGCAGAATTACAAATTCAGTTATTTTAGTTGATCTGCAGACACACATACATTCATGAAATTCGTGCAAATACCCGCTGGACCGGGAAACATTCCGGTGTACATACAATACAAAAAATACTCCAGAGATTTAGAAAAAAAAAAAAAAAAAAAAAAATACGGAATAAAAAGAAGATAAAAATCTCTATTGAAAGTGTTCACGTATTAAATTTTCTATTTCTTTCTATCAACTATTGTCTCTTTCTTTCTTTCATGTTTTTACTGCAATTCCAAGAAATCCACAAGACATTTAGTATAGTTGTTGTGTTGTTACATGTTGTTATTTACTCACAAAAACAAGCCAATTAAAATGCTTTGCTCGGTTAACAACAATAACAACAATAACAAGAACAATATGATGGAAACGCAGTTTTGTACATATTCCTAACGACAAGTTAACATAAGTATTAAGAATACTTGACAAGAATGCGAATATATACAGAAAAATAAAACTGTTTTATTTAATAACAAAAATTATACAAAAAAAAAAAAAAAAAAAAAAACACAAAAACACAAAAATCAAACAAGTAATGAAACGAAATGTAGAACATGCGTTATCTCGGATTGGAAATACATATATTCATGTAATGCGAGACGATGACCTTGCATAATACTAAGAAAACCTATTAACATTTTTTTCAAAAATAGAACCAGATCAAGTTTAATTCCAATATTAATTTTTGGATATTAATCAAGAATGTTAGTAAGAAGTAAAAATTGATTTATGCCAAGTCTTATATACGTCCGGGAGGTCGGTCCATCGCGATGAGGGCACATGAAAGGGTATTTATGCTTGTTATCAGCAGATTGCTTATATTTATATATAGATGTCATATAAATGAGTCTATGATCTTAAATTATTAGCGCGAAAAACGAAGCATGAGGAGTATATTGTTATTGTCCAAACGTTTGCAACGGTCCGTTAAAAAAAAATTCAGGGACTGCACAAGGTATATATATTCTTCCCCAATATCAAATACAGAATTGATTGAATTTGATTTGATGTCCGTCTGTCTAATGTCTGTTATAAATACTCTCATGGCGGTAAAGATGAAGCTTTCGACTTCAAATTTAGCAAAAACATTGGAGATTCTTCCAAGCAGGCTGGTGTTGAAATCGGACAAATCGGTCGAAGGACCCGCCAGCAGTACCGCGTGAACTGAGAACACCTCTATTTTTCAAAAGGAATAAAAAACGAATGTTTTCGTTCGTTACTTATATACTACAACAGATAAAGAGATAATTTATTCCCTGAGCGATGCTGCAGTGGAAAGAAATTGACCACGAATATCATAGTGAATCAAAAATTAATTTTTATCTCAGTAGTCTTATAAGGCGCAGATGGAGGCTCCAAAACCCCCATAAAACATATAAATTCTTGATCAGTACTTAAGTAAGTCCATCTGTCCGTCTGTCCGAATACATAGCGTCTATCGAAATAATTTTCGCGCGTTCGGAAAAATGAAAAAACAATTTGAAAATAATTCAAACTTTTCAAAGGACGCGCCCCCAATGCCCATATGTCTACGTGACAAAAACTGTGAACACGCTTGTTTGTTACTCATCAAGCGCAGCACATACAACGTATAAATTTTCAGTAGAAAACCTTAGTAGTTTTTTTCCAATCTTTTTTAGGTTAACGAGGACAGGTGTAAGAGATTCAGTCACAACCGAACATAATTTTCTTATCTGTTCTCTTTGAGAACGGTTTGTGAAGCATATTTACTATGCAATGCGAAAAACCTTTAAATGTATTTAAGAGCTACTGGTGTTTAAATATCATTGTACCAAATTGCTTTCAAAATGTTTTTAATAAATAATTTATAGTTGTAAGCTTTTATTGCTAATATCGATATTGTCAAGTATTTCTCAAGTTTATTACTTTTTCCATAGATTTGTACATATTTTTGAAAACATTTTTTCGCAAGTGTTATATGTCTGTCTTCTGTTAGTCAATAGAAAATACGTAAAATATGAAGCTATGTTTCGTTAAGTACATACATATATATATATATATATATATGTATATAACAATTTTGCATATTTGTGTTATAGCATGCATACGCAAACACACACACACACACACGCAGACGCATAAATAGGTGCTGTCTGAGTTTACAGTTTTCATTTTTATGCATTTTTATGCATTTTCATGCAATCGCATTATTCATTATCTTATGCTTTCTGTTAACGGTTTGCTGTTTGCAAATTAATATCGCTCGCGCGTCAATACGTAAAATATCAAAACATTTGTTATTTATTAAGAAAAGAAAACGTGCCATAAAGTAGCAACAATTGATTAAGTGTTTAATTACACATCGTTTGGCAAAACCTAAAAATCGAGCTAGTAAACGAGTTATGCGCACGTACAACTACATTATATACATATTGCGCATGTGATCTCATGTGGTCTATGTTTAGGTTCTACTTTACAGTTGATTGCTTGCTTTGATATTTTGTTTATTCGATTTAATTGAAAATCGAGTTTATCTCCTTTGCCTTCTCATAATTTTTTACTTGTAATTCCTTCTGTTTCGTTTTTCTTATTTACGTGTGTAACATGTAAGTAACACACAGATGTTTTTTCAAAATTTTCACATTCATATTTCAGTTTAACATTTTTTTTGTATTTTTTTTTTTTTTTTTTTGAATATTTAACCGCAAAATTATTCATAATGAATAGGAAATATTTTCCTTTTTTGTTTTCAAGGAATGTTTCCTTTGACAATTCACAAGTACATTGCAATTTGCATGTTGCACGGATAATATTTGCTCTGGCCGATATGAAATTATTTCAAATTACATTTTTGCAAACATTTTTCAAATTGTTGACCAGACCTTGGACCTTAAAATATTTGATATGCATGCAAGTTACGGCCGCAAGATGAAATGTTGCGTTCATAAGCAGTAACAGGAGCAGCATAATAGAAAAAAATAAATAAAAAGACTACAGGGGAACACTGCCCAACATTAAACACCCTATACCACTTCGCTTAATACCATTTGCCATTTAGGCAACGACTTTTGAAAATAAGACTTTGTATCATCCGTCAAAATATCTCGAAAATTGCAACCGTATGTTTGAATACAAGAAAACAAGACGGGCAGTCCGATAGATGAGTTTAGATCGATGCATAATAAGAAAGTTACATTAGGCGGGGCCCGAATCTCGCGTATCCCCATCACTATGTTTTCGCATTCTACTCTGTAAGTTCATTTATTTGAGACCGATATCGCTGGTATTATTAAGAAGAAAAATCTAATCGCATTGTCTACCGTATTCATTTTAAAGTTAAGTGTGTGAAGTTAAATTCGAATTTAACTAACAAAGACACCTACCATATCTGTTAACAAAACTCTGTAAACGCTTTAACAGAGCTTTATATTTAAAATTAAGATATAATTGGATTTGAAAGCCTACTTCTACATCTCATGAATCTATATGAAAATGCCTTTCAAACAAACTAAACAAATTCAAATTCTGCTTATGGGAGTTTTTTTTGACAATTTTTTGAAATTTCCTATGTTAGCGAAAATGGGTATGGAAGAACACCCGAACTTGAGACTCTGATGCGGACAATTTTAGAAAATGTCACCTGTATTAACCTATATCCATATAAAAACGTCTGTAGAATGAGCAAAAAAAATTCGAATCCTTTTTTCGGGAACTATTTTTAACAATTTTTTGAAATTTGCTAT